GGGGGGGGGGGGGGGGGGGAAAGAAGGAAAAATTAAAGGCAACACCAAATTTTAATATTAAATTAAGTTTAACTTCGTATTTTAATGCAAAATTCAAACAAATTTATATTCATATTATATTTTTTACTACAGTCTTCATCAAATGGTATCAAACCGTTGATATTTAATTTTTTACCGTAACTCGTTCAATTTTTTTTTTTTCTTTTACGATTTTATTCAATTTTCCAACGATCGTTCGTTCGATCATAGCTAGATGCAATTTTGTCATCTAAATTTCTAGTTAAAGACAATATTTTAATAGTTCTGAGAGCTTCCTCTGATATATTTGAAAAAAAAAAAGAAAAGAAAAACAACTACGAAGAAACTTTTACCATTCCCCGATATATATATATTCGTATTATTTTGAATTATTTATTATTATTGCACTGTGCTGCAATATTATTTATACGCATATATTATAAATATTGTCAAAAGCGAATTGGTTTCAACAGCTACTTCAATGTAACATAAAAGTATCCGGTACTTTATCTTGTCCATTCTCTCTTTCCCTTTCTCTCTCTTTCCCTTTGTGCATACGTGTTCCCCTTTACCTCCGCTTCTCTATATGTACTTTACAATTAGTTCCCTTCCTTTTCGGAAGTTACACCGGCTCGTGAACTCCATCCATTAGTCGAGGATGCTTCCCAAAGTGAATATCGCACGTACCTTCGGTACGTACACAAACATAGTTAATGTCACAAAATATCCATTACAATTCAGGTAAAGTTGTATACGTAAGAGCTGTCCAGATTTTTTATTTCTTTTTGTTCTTCTCTTTTAACAATCTCCCTCCTTGCCCCCTTTACCTACCACCGTATTCTATCTTTCTTTTTTTTCTTTTTTCTCTCTCCTAGAGTGTTTAATATTAATTATTTTATGTAATTTATAATTATCAATTATGTTGTTTGTGTGTGCGTAATAAAGAATTTTATAATTATTTTCCAGTAAAATAAAAACATTTGTAAATAAATGAAACTTAAAACGTTCTTTAATAAAGATGCACTATACTTGCCATTATATTTCCTATAAAAAGAATAATAAATAAAGTAGGGGAAAAATAAAATAAAAATTTAGGAAAAAAAGATTCGACCCAACGAAACTCGGTCCAGCGATCGATCTATCGAGTCTATGTCGATACGCGTTGAACTAGCGAGTTCTATTAACAAATGATTTAAAAACATGGTATATAAGAATACTAGTATATAATGTATAATCACATTATTTTAGGTAACCATAGCTACAGATTTAGGCAAAGTGGTGACCAGGATGCAGCTCGAAAGATCCGAAGTAGCGTTCTTTATTTATACCAATGGCAACACTTTAAGGTATTTATTTAAAAATATATTACATTCATACGTGTTTATTCAGTAAGATTGAAGTTTCTGGCTAAATCTTAGAATAATATTTCTAACCGTTATACCGCAATTAGATTTTTTATTCACGTATTCGTTAGATCACTTTACATCTATCTGTCTTACAATTCCATTGATCGCTTGATCTCACGGTGTATACGTGACTCAATTTTAAAACAAAACTTTTATCCAAGACAAGAAAGAAAAAGAACCATTTTTTAATGTGTCTACGAATGAAAACAAATGGTACTCTCGATAGACTTTAATTTTATATATTATTATCTCGAAACACCAATGCAATTTCCTTCACCTTTATTTCTTCTCCGAGTTTTTTGTAATAGAAAAAGAAAGAGAAAAAAAGAAAAAGGCGAAGATAATAATGTAACAGCAATAACGTGCAATCATTTCTTTATCTTCTTCTTTTCTTTTCTTTTTTTTCTTTTATAGATAGATTTCCCATTTAGACATAGTTACAAACATTGGTATTCGGGTTGTGCACGTTGAACCATCGAAGGTTCTATCCGATTAAAACTTTACGATCAGTGAATCGTGCTTTATTGACCCGACCCTTCTTCTGCTTCGATTATTTCATACGAGCAACGAGTAATATTAATAAATCATCGAGATTTTGGTTAAATTATTTATTATAACAATCGGAATATATTTGAATATTTCGTAATTTAATTTTTTTATTTTTTATTATCATCGAACGTACTTCAATCAGTCCCCACCCACCCTTCTCGATTTTTCCTATTAAGCTTCGTTTAACTTTCTCATCTTTTTCTTTTTCTTTTTTTTTTTTTTATATCTCTCTTTAAAGGTCCAATCTGACACAAAGATTCGCTATAACCGATCAGGCTCTGCATAATATGACAACCTGGCCCTTGGTATCCGTCCCGAGGGATGAAAGCAAGACGCAAACTTACGATGTTGTCAGCAAGGAAGCCTTTCAAGCGCGTCTAGAAGATTTCAGGTAAAATAATCTAAAAATTGACACCAACTTTTTCATTCTTTTCAAAAGCAATAAAATATAACTCTCGGCATGTCGATGATCTGAGAAATTTTTACAAGAAAAAAAGAAAAAAAAAGGGGAAAAAGAGAAAGTAATTGATTTATAACATTACGTAGAAAACTTTTGATTCTACTTTATATTCATTGTATAATTTAATCGTGACGTCAAAGAGGAGTAACGCTTTAAAACGTTCTCTTAATCAATATACTATTCCCTGGATTTAAATTTCCACGTAGAAAACGATACACGCGTAAACTGCGTGACATGCTTCTAATCAGGTACAAAAGTTCTAATTAATAAATTGCTTGTTATTATTATTATTATCGCATTGCTATCAATCACGTAATTAGGATTATCTATCTTTAATCAAAGATTATTATAATTACGTTTTATTTATTATAGGTATTTAATCATCGTATTGATTTTCTTCGATTTAATTTAATTTAAAATTTAAACAAAATAATAATAATAATAATAATAATAATAATAATAATAATAATAATAGAGATGAAGCAAATTAATACCATTAGAGTAAAAATTCTTAAATTTGTTAGTTCACAGAATTGAAATGAATGTTCGTGATGTAACGTGTAAGAAAATTACGGAAAAAAACTAACATTTCCCTCGAGTCATTGTTCCGACACTTGTTGAATTTCCATTCATAGTATAAGTGTGTGTACTTTTCTCTCCTACAACCTCGAACCATAATGGCTGACATTAAAATACGATCGAAGTTGGAACCCCTTTTATGTACTCTACTTAAAATACTTTTATGGAAAGATACGATAATACTGCTTGACACATTTTTACAATCGCCAGCTGAATTTTCTTTTTCTTTCCTTCTTTTTTTTCGATAAATCGAAAATATATTTTGTTATATTGACATTTGTAAAAAACAAAAAAACCAAAAAAGTATTAATTAATTTGCATTATCGTTTAATCATCATAATATTCATTAGATATTATATCCTTCAACTTGTGTCTTTAAAAAATGATCATTTTCAATTGGATGGCGTTAGGAAAATTGGTAATTCGAATTTTCGCAGATTTTTATCGTCAATTCCGTAGTCAAACGACATACTGGAAGTATATAAAATAAAGCTTTACATTTAATAACAAAATATAGATAATAAGACAATAGACAGAAATGTTGTTATGTTATAAACTTTTGTTCTTATTTTGCAAATCAGTCAAAATTGAAAAGAAACATTTTATCAAAGTTTTAATAGAAAATGTGGGAGAATATAAAACAAGTGAATACCGGTGGTACTTCTTTTAACATTTTGATTCCTTTTTTTCATAAATTTTAAAAGACAATTGTTATCATTACATATTTGTAATAAAACATTGTATGAAAATTTTGTGGAAAAATATTTTACAAGTGAAATTTACTTTCCTCGTTTTAACGTAAAATAAAGTAACTATCATTTCGCGGTTCATTAAAACTTTTACGCAATCCATTAAAACTTTAACAGGAACTCATACGTTGTGAAAACTCTTGTACATCATATTCCATAATCATTAATATAATATAAAATAATATAAATATAAATATAAATAATATAAAATATATATTAATATATAATTATATATGCACAGGATCGAGTCAAGGTTACTTGACAGCCTTAGGCCAATTTGATCATATTTTTTTCTTAATTGCAAATTTTTACTGAAACAATACGACGTGTTTGGTATCGCAAAAAAAATCGAATAGAAAATATCTTAAAATGAAAATAAAATAATGTTACAAATTCCGACGCAATTAGTAATACAATTTTTTATAGAGAACATTGTTTTGCATCGTCGACACTTTGATTATCTGAGAACCAGTTTGATGTTAATTCATTTTTGTTCATAATATTGAAATTCTAAAATTAATACACCCCTAAGACGGTACCTTTTTTAAAGCCGACCCTGTACATACATATGCACATATGAACAGCTTATTTGCTAAATCGATTAACCCCACGAAACAAAAGGTAAGAAAAGTTGATGAAGTTTTTTTTAAAATTGTCGTTACACAATTAGAACATTTTTTTATTATTTCAATAATAATTAAGCTTTTTTAATATTATTAAAGAAACTTTATTCTAAATATAAAAAAGTTATGAATTAATTGTGAATACTTTTGTGCAATAATTATGTACAAAATTTCTATAATGTAAATTTAATCGAGATTTACCCTTTGAACGTTACATATTAACATTTAATTTATTTATGTATTTAAAATGAATAAAATAATATAAGTGATTATTTTATTAGTTCTCCATATTCGCAGGGGACTTTGATAAACGTTGAACATTGAAGAAATAAAATTTCTTTCTAAAATAATACATACGGGTTAATAACTATGATATTGGACTTAATAATAAATGAAAAGAAATATCCAAAATTTATTTTATAATTGCTTATGATATAACATACAAATAATTGGAATATAAAATAAATATTAGATTGACCAATATGGTGTTTGCTGTTATTAACCATACGCGTATATCGATCAAGCTAAAAATTATAATAAAAAAAATATAAAATAAATTTTAGTTGAATTTTTTAGACTTAGTTAATTTACAGAAACGATTACCAGGCGTATTATATATATATATATATTTACGTGATTAAACATACAATGTTGAGTAGTTAAAGGGAAATAATACATAAATTCATAATAGCATACCCCTTGTAAGAGAATATTTATAGAAAACACGTTTTTCATTCCGGGAGAATGAAAAAGCTGCTCGATTTCACAGCGATGGCACGTATAACCAATAAATCGATAGAATAATAAAGTATCGATATGGAAAATTCTACCTACCAACTATAGGCCATCGATGAACAGAAGAAAATGGTAGGAAAGTTATGATGAGAATTCCAAATATCATCTTTTGCATCTTGTCAAACGTGATCTCAATGAACACAAATACGAAATCATTCTTATCTTCATTATTTCATATATGCATTTTCAATTTTTTTACTTTTATTATGTAGCTATCTGAGATACAGATATAAATATCTTTAGCTTTTATTATCTTTTTTTTCTTTTTAAATCTTTCATTTTGTGATTTTCATATGATTCGATGATTCGATAAATCGTATGACTTTCGTTTGACGATATTTCTCGTAGATCTTATTACATCTGGTTAACGAAATTTATCATAGGTCAATATTTGTTTTATCATTAACAATATTCTTTGTAAATTATGTTTCTTTCTTCCTTGGTAAAATTCTATCTTACAATTAGATCGAAATTCGTTTCATTAATTTAAAAAATTCTTCGTAGATCGAACTATTCTTCCTTGATCGAATTCACCGTAAAGTGAAAACTATTAATATATATATATATATATATATATATATATATATATATATCCCCAGTTAAATGAAATCTAATCATAAATCACAATTATTATCATATTGACGAAATACCTCATAAACTCCAGCACATTATTCATCGACAATATTTTCCCTTGTTCGAATAGATCAAAGTAAATATTTCACTCCACCTACCGTTCCCCTGACTAAATTTACCATAACTAAATTATTATTTTCACATTGACAAAATTTATCGTTTAGCAAATTGAACCTTATTATCGTTGACTAAATTGGATCGTAGATCAAAGTTATTTCCGTCATTCGACGTCATATTCGCCTTGATAAATTCTCTTTATCGATGTAAAAAGAAGGAAAAGAAGATAAAGAAAGAGAGAAAGAAAAAAAAGAATTAAATGTCAACCAACGTGGGACCGGTTATTATTTTCCATTACTTATATATCTAACACATACACACACACACACACATATATACACAGAAGATATCAAACACACGTTCGTACATGCATCAAACACAAAACCTGTATACATTCGTACACTATACATTTATATATATATATATATATATATGATATAACTAAGGAAAAAGGAGAGAAGAAAATAATAGAATGATATTGACGATCCCATAAAGAACAGTTTATAATGTTGGTAACATACTATTAAGAATATTCGAACTTCTTCAAATACGAATGAAAGAAACAAATAGACTATAAGAAAAAGAACGATTGGTATTAAAAGATAGGATAGTCAAGAAGATAGAGTACATATTGACAATAGATCAGTACTAATAATAAGTATGCACGATAGTTTATAATAAATTGTCACAAAGTACAAATTTCTCCTTCTCCTTCTTCTTCTTCTTCGGGAGCTTTTTCGGGAGCTTCTCTCATTTTTTCCATCTTTATTTCTGTTATCTATACAACCTCATATATATACACACATATACATGCAACATGTATATGAGGTTATACGCATGAGCGCGTGACCGCTCATATGGAGCGCTGTGATGTATTTTTAGATTTTTTCTCTCTCTCCCTCTCTCTCTTTCTATCATAAAGAGAGTTTGGCAAATAGCCTTCAATATATGGTAAAATAGAAAAGCAATATATTGTCTATCGTCTATGAGAGTTTTATTGCAACAATACAATTCAAATAAATAACGAATATATTATATATTCGTAGATAAAGAAATAAAAATAGAAAATATGGTTCTGTAATTGTAAAATTATTTTTTGGGGTGGAGAAGAAGGGGGAGAGGTGTTTTCTCAATTTCGTTTCTCGTTATAAGAGAATGAAAAATGGAGGGGACAAAAAAAAAATAAAAGGAAAGAAATAATGAAACAAAACCCATACTACCTCTGTTTGAATATTTCAGACAGAAAATAAGCTCGGAAGAGAGTAGTATACAGGAAGTTTTGGCTTGGTACACTAGCGTAAATGCCGCCATGCTCGACCATTTGACCAATCAGATAAAGGAAACTGATAACAGCGGTGTATGGAGGTGAGTTCTTTTTTTTTCTTTTTCTACACTTTTTTACTTTTCATTATTTATATTTATTATTCGTACATATTTAATATAATATAACACACACATGAGAGGTTCGTAATTATTATTAATTAATTACTTAAATATTGACCGTGATAAGCACAAATACATTGATTTTGTAGACAGTGGTTTTGGACAGAAAGTTTACTTTTCTATTTTTCTTTTACTTCGTTTATATTTTTTATTTAATATTTGAACTTATATATTCGTTACATATAATTTAATTATAGATTTGTACTATTAATATGTGTGTCTATGTATCTATGTATGTATATATATGTGTGTGTTTATTTGTTTTTACTTAAATATATGTTTCTATAGATACTTGATAGCGTTTAAAAATCTTCTACGAAGCATCGAGAGTCTCGGTATCGCTTCCGTTTATGGGATCAATTATTTTGGACGTGGAATACTTTTAAGGGACAATTATGTTAGTTATGTACGTCATGAGGCTCTAGGACGCGATCTTTTAAACGGATCGCTCACATACGTGCCTTCTTTAAAACAATTTTATACCGAGCTTACTCGAACCATGCCGGATTATGGTAGGATCAAATCTAGGTACATATATATATGTACATATTTGTGTTTAACATATGACATATATTTATAATGTTAATTTATTCAATCTCTAAAAGTGAAAATAACAAATTTATTGAGATTTCCTTTTTATTTTTTTTTTATTTTTTAAATAATAATATTTAGTTATATATTATTGTTGAACGGTAGTATCGTTATGATGAAAGGATAATTATTAATTATTTTATTGTAAAATCGTAATTATGAGAAAAAATAAAATATTATATAGGATTTTTGGGGAAAAAGTTTCTTCAAATTTAACTACATAAATGAAACAAATCTATTATTCTTTAGATTTCCTCTATATCTATTATTTCCAAATGATTTCAAATTGTTTTGTACTCGATGTTCTACCATGAAAATACGAAGAAACTTTTTCCCCGATCTAATATATAATTATATTAATATTAATAATATTTTCATTAATCGTTTCGTTTTTTTAATCGTAGACGAGATGAAATTCTTCGAAATCAAAAGCGTGAGCGTAGCATAGAAGACGCCATTGCTTATTTTGATTCAATGGCAACTTACGTCGATGAACTTCGTAAACTTCAACGCGAATTACGTCACATGATACGGTAAATGTTGGTTCTTTTATTTATTTTTTTTTATTTAAAATTTTTCTTTATCTTTCCAATTTCATTTTTATTACCATTATTACAATGATACGATACGCGATTATAATAAAAATCATTACTTTTCAGAGACTATGTTAATTTAACTCTGCAGGATGCAAGTAATAAGGAGGTTGCTGGTATAGCCATTGTTGTTTTGGTCCTAATTGTTTCTCCTATTATTATAATATTAGTACGCAATGCAGTGGCTACCATTCAAGTAAGTTTTTATATTTAAAATGAGAGAGAGAGAGAGAGAGAGAGAGAGAAATAGAAACAACAAATTAAGAAATGTGTATAATGCAAAAGTTAATTAGTTAATTAATTTTATTTTTTTATTTAATAATTGAAAGAGAGAGAGTGAGAGAAGAAAAGTTTACGATTGCTAACGAACATAATTAATTGGTAATTTAATTTGTTATTTAATGAGAGAGAGAGAGAGAGAGAGAGAGAGAGAGAGAAAGAAATTAAGAGAAATATATGACTAAACATGAACGAAATTAATTAATTTTTGTTGATTTATTAAATAACAATTGAAAAGAAAAAGTAAGAACATTGCGTGACTCGTTACGAACAAAATGAAATCAATGAATAATTCATCATTTCTATTTTATTCCAATGGGTAAAGAGAAATAATAAAAGTTTTCAACTCTAAACGAAATAAATTAATTGTGATGAATGTTTTTTTATATATATTTAATAAGAAAAAAAAAGGAGAATCTGAAAAAAGGAAATTAGAAATGAGATTCAATTGGTAACGAGCATTAAAATTAATTTTTTTAAATTAATTCTTTTTTGTTTCATTTATTTGATTTTGTTATTTTACTCTCTACTCCGCTTTACCTTTCTTTTTTTCTTTTAATTTTAATTTGAACTTCTAACGAATGCGTATTAAAAACAAAAAAAAAAAAGAAGAAAAAGAACCGATAAGGATAAAATTGAATAAAATCTCAAACGATATAAATTTCGTAGATGTATGCTGCCAATTTAGCACAAAAAGCTCGCGAATTGAAAAGAGAAAAAAGAAAAAGCGACACGTTGCTTTTTCAAATGTTACCACCTAGCGTAGCTCAACAACTCAAACAGACACAACAGGTATCCTAACTATATTATATTATTATATAATATAAGTTTCACATTTATTATTAGTTATATATATAAAAAAAAAAGAACCAAGATATTCGATTTACGAATAAGTTAATAAATCAAGGTTTACTACGTACAAGGTGCCAGCTGAATATTACGAAGCAGTGACCGTTTACTTCAGCGATATTGTTGGTTTTACTGAAATTGCTGCTGAGAATACACCACTCGAGGTAAAACTTTTTGTTTTTTCTTTTATTTTTTATTTTCAACTTAATTTCGTTGCTTGAGTAATAAAATTTGTCTTGTTTTTTTGTTGTTCTTCAGGTTGTCACATTTCTCAATTCGATTTACAAATTGTTCGATGCCCGTATCGAGTGTTACGACGTTTACAAAGTTGAAACTATTGGTGATTCTTACATGGTTGCTTCCGGTTTACCAGTTCGAAATGGTACACAGATATTTTTTTTTTTTATAAAATTCTTACAATAAATTAAATTTGATTTCTATTAACAATAATTGAATTATGTAAATAAATTATGACAATGAACTGGATTTACCGAAAAGTTCGTGCCTGTCTGCAAATATTTGTCTTTACTTTAATTTGATTTTAATTTAATAATAAATGATATTTAATTGAAATCTCGTTAAATATAAAAATATATATAAAGATATCTTTATTTAAATTGGCATGAACTTTACAGTTCAACTCAATACTTGCATAGTAAATAACGAAAAGAGATAAAATTGATGCAAATTATTATTTATATGTAAAGGTGATAAGCATGTATCCGAGATCGCAACAATGGCTTTAGATCTATTGGCAGCATCCTCAGTTTTTCAAGTACCAAAACGTCCTGGTGAAAGACTTCAAATACGCAGTGGTGCACATACAGGACCAGTCGTAGCAGGTATTGTTGGCAGTAAAATGCCACGGTATTGTTTATTTGGTGATACCGTGAACACAGCGAGTCGTATGGAATCCACAGGCGAAGGTAACATTTTATTTTAAATATATATATTTAATTATCAAACTTGTACAAAAATTTATTTAAAAGCAAAATTTTCGTTTAAAACCAAAAATTGTTGGCGTGGATTTAATAATCAAACGAATGAAAACGAAAAGTATATATGAAAATACACATAGTAACGTGAGTTATGTTTTTTCTTTTGCAGCTTTACGGATTCACATTAGTTTAGAAATGAAAAAGGCCTTGGATGCTGTTGGTGGATTTAAAATCGAGCATCGTGGTTTGGTTGACGTTAAAGTATGTTTTTTTCTTTCTTGTTTCATTTTTTATTTTATTTTTATTTACCCCAATAGATAAATATTAACTCTCTATAATGCCCATAGTATAATTAGAATCATAATATAATTGAAATGCAGTTTACTTAAAAGAAAACAAGTAAATTTCGTTTAAAATATTTGTCGAAAATCTATTCGAGTTTAAGAAAGGATGAGGCTTTACATAGAGTTGACAAATTTATTTCATGATCTCATTTTAACATACACGTACACATACATATGTACATACACAGGGCAAAGGCCTAATGGATACATATTGGTTGGAGTGTAAGGATGGTGGAATTGCGAGAGCAGCTGAATTGGATTTGCCATCATTCTTTGAAGATGTACGACCAGTCTTTATGCGCCGTTTACGAGAGGAAGGTAAAAAGAAAAGAAAAAAAAAAACAAATAAATAAATAATTATTTTCGAGGAAACTCTCTGCTCTTGTATAATAAATGTAAAATAAATGTAAAAATTGATAATTATAATTAAACCATCAGGTACTCTCTGATGCGAGCCTTACTCTCGGCGAGACCTGTGGTATATAAATCGTCCCGTACGAACTTGTATACGATTATCTCAGCCAAATCTCATCGACCATTTGAAGAAACCAAGCCAAGGTCGTAAAAATCGACTATCTCATCCAAATCTTCACATCACGCCAGTGAAAATTCAACCTCAGTCACAGTCGAGCATCGAATCGCAAGATTCGGTGACTTACGACGGTACCCATTCAACGACACCCTGTCCACCAAGTTACTCGCCGGCGAGTCAAAGGAGTCGATTATCTCAACCAAATCTTCCAACATTATTGATATCTTATGAGCGTAGATCTGGTGGTGGTTCACCCGATCGTCGTATAAGAATGTCACAGCCGACATTAAACTCAAGTTTCAGCGGGATCAATTTCTTTGGTATGAACCGTGGTACCCGTTTATCGTACACCAGTTTGAGAGCACCGTCAGGTGACAATAGTATCAATGAGGAGGAAAGACTTTCAACACCTAACGTCCATCGGCTTGGTGGTAGTGCCGGTGAGAACATATCATCGGTTGATCATCATGGTTCAAGATTTTCTCAGCCAGATATAAGACGTTACACTCTTCGTCAGGATCCAACTAAACGGGAAAGATTATCGCAGCCTACCCTTGTATCCGGTGATTATTATCCAATACGCGGACATGGACAACAGAGATTATCGCAACCGTGTTTGTCCACAATCAGAGATTCCGGTATACCAACGATGATTTTACAATCCCCATCGCCACCTCCCATCAAACACAAAAGATTTTCACCAATTTCTGCTGCCAGTCATAGGGATCGTCTATCTCAATTAGATATTGGTGGGAAATATAGAAATTGGAAGGATTTATCCAACTCTACGGTTAAATTCAATCGCGATAGATTCTCCATACCCGAATTGGAAACTAAAAATGATCTCAAATTGATGGCCGGTACGCCTAAACAAAGATTCAGTCTTGATAGTCAACTGACTCGTAATCAGGATAGTGGAAGATCAAGATTATTACCAATAGCTAGCTCTCCGATTTCTGAACATCAACAGAACAAACTCGAAGAGATAACCAGCACGGTAAGTGTTGGGCCAAATAAACTGAAGACTCCTACACGTGAATGTTTGGAAAGTATTATTGTAGCTAGCACGACGCCTATCTTGCCACCAGGTGAAAGAAAATTACTTGACTCAACAATAGCTTTAAAAGGTATCTCTCCAATTTATGTTCCACCAATACCACCTGGAACAATATCAACGTCTACGACAACTGCAACAAATTTAACAACAACTGCTACAGTAACTACAATGAAAGGTACTACTGTTTTACCTCCTAGAGAAAGAATGTCTGTACCAGAAATAAGAAATTCGAGCTTACGTCGTTTGTTGGATCCACCAACGAGACAGAGACACAGTATAACAGGTAATCTGAGACAATGTTTACTTTCACCTAGCAAAGTCCATGACATAACAAGGAAACCCTACAAATTTTCCATCGAAGAAGCTTTAGAAAAATTAAAGAAAGAAAAAGATAAAGAAAAAGACAAAACTAAAAGCAATAATAAGGAAGATAATAAAGAAAAAGAAAATATTATAACTAACGAGCCAGACTTTGATACATTTCAACCCCCGAAACACATTCAACGTCATTATTCTTATACATATGACATCAAAGATGAAAGTAGTTCGATTGGTAAGATATCAGTGAGTAGTATACCAAAGAAAAAATTTTTAGAGAGTAACTTTGATGAGAACGAACAAGTGATTACAACCGTTATAGAAACAGATGTACCAATTATACTGGGCACTCCTAAATACTTCAAAAGAATGCAAAGTTACTCTAGCGAAACGCCAAAATGGATCAGAAAGTATTTAGACAGTGACGGACCTAAATTTGGTAAGAAAGGTACCACAGGTACTACCGGTACCAACAAGGAAAGCTCGAAATCTAGCAGGAAAGGTAGCAGAAGAAAAAGTTCTTTAGAATCGATAGAAGCTGAAAAAAAACCAGAGAATAAGACTCGATCTAAATCTGTAAGTAGTGGTGAAAGAAGTCCGATGACAAAGAACACAGGTATCAGTCAAGAATTCATGAACAATATTAAAAACACTTACGTTAGGATCGTGCCAACCAGCAATATGCAAGAGAACAGATACGAAATAGCTGTAGGGTCTAGTTGGACTCAAGATAATAACAATCGTGGACCGTATAGTGGTGTTGGTGGTGATGATACCGATTCGGATGATTCTACCTCTATTTAAATATGCCAAAAATATAATTATTTTTCCAAATTACGTCAATTGGCATTAGAATGACTTGACAAAGAATCTCAGCATTGTATCGCTTGTATCTCACGGCTACGCTATATATATATATAATATATTATATATTGTATATTATATATTAAACTGTATATTATATCATATATCGTGTGTCAGGTCGCAGACAATTATACATATATTATTACGTTTCTGAATGTTGAATTTGTTGAAGAAAAAATGATACTAGGATACCAAGTGACACTGATCGGGTCGGTAGTTTAACTTTTGTTACATTATTTTTTTCTTTCTTTATTTTCTCGGAGATTTTTCTCCTTGTTACGATGAAATTATTCAATTTTTTTTAAAGGGAAAAATTAATAAGTGAAGTATACTACCGTATGTCATTTTTGATTGAATTTTGTACTTAAATCGTATCTTCAACGCATGATTTAATAAAGGTAATAAAGAAGCATTAATTCACAATGTATGATTAATTATTGAATAACGAGTCAATATGATATTAATGATAAAATAAAAATGATATCAAACATTGTACATATATCATTGTTTCAAAAATTAAATTATTCTTTAGATATTTATAAAAGTATAGAAGATTACTCATTCAATGCTTTTATATCTTTATTTCTTTAATGAATTAAATGACACAATTTATATACGCGCACACATATACATATATATTTTTCCTTTCTTTTATACTAATAGAATTGTCATTGTTTTATTGATGCTTCATCATTACAATCCGTCTTTATTAACGATAAAGATCGAATACAAATGAAATCGATGGTTCCTTGTATTAATATAGCTGAATTATTTTTTAACTGATACTAGTCACCCTAATGAACAAATCCAACCGTTATTAAATAACTCTTTTTTTATCTCAATCGATTACCACGAGATGCTTTCCAATTCGATATATTAGAAATATTTGAGAAATACTATTTATATATTAATTTATATATATAACGAATGCCAAAAAAATATATGAATGTAAATAAAATATTTCAGATATATGAAGAAAGATTTAGAAATTTAATTAATTCAACAATAATTTCTTTTAATATTAACGAAGTTATAAATAATATTTGAATAAATTGTTTTAGTTGTAATTTTATATATATATATATTATATTATTTTTTCTGTTCTATATTTTTCTCGATATATTATTTGAATAAAATTCAAACTATTGTTTCATGTTACTCTCTCGCATTATAATACTTATGTTATATTAAATATTATTTTATAACAAAATAGGAGAAACAAAATGAAGGAGAAGAAAGATGTTTGAGCTTTCAAGACTATAAGATAACGTAGATATTAAATGTTGTGTAACGTGGAATAATAAATGTTACTGTTGTCAATAAAATATGTTTATTACCTATATAATCTCACTGAATAGAATTCAAATATTAGATTAATAGAAAATAAACGACAATAAGTAATTTCATTTATGTATGATTCTGTAATTGTTAAATCTCAATGAAGTGAAATGTTAGTCGAAATACTATTAATTTATAAAAAAAGATACGAACACAAAATCCAAATAAAAAAGAA